CTGAGACCAGTAACAAAATAGTACCTATAAAAGGAATTCAACACCTCTGCAAACTTTAGAAGCAAAATGCTCCTGTATTGAAAACTATCAGAAAGTGAGAATCCTATTAACATATTTCTTCACCTCAATTTTTCCACCGTGGGTTTAGCTGGTGTGCTACCAGCTGAGGAAAATCCATTGTCGCTGTCTGAGGAATCCCCAAATCTTCGAGAAAGCCAGTCCCTTAATGGTCTATGGAAACATTAGAATTCACTTTTAAAACTTGGCTATATAAAGAAATTTTCAATCAAAGTTATGAAGGTTAGTTTTGTATTTCAAGAAATATGACATACCTGATAAAGGGAATAGCCATAAAAAATTTGTTAGGTGCCAAACCAAGTTTGGATTTTGGGGTCATATCATTTCTATGGCAGGGCAACTTCTCTATGGAGAACCACTCAATGTTCTGAAACACAAAAAAATAATTCATTTAGTTAATTATCATCAAGGAGTTTCTAAAAGCAATTTCTTACTTTCTTCAATTGGGCTGCTGTCCAGCAACCTGAAAATACTTTCAATTACATACCCGAATTTCCCTTCTGGTTTTTGGATTAAATTTTGTCTCTCTTGGAATTCCTGGAATGATGTACAAACGAGCAAGCTGGTCATTGATTCGAAGTTCAATGTAATCATCCTTACAAATATAATCTTTGATATCAAAACCAGTTTCTTCAAAGACCTGAAAATAACAAATTTGGATGATGATTTTCAATTTTTGTTGTCAGACCTCCAGTTCATTAAAATTTATTTCAAAGGCAAAAATTCAGAAATATGCAGGCAATTAAAGGCATGAAAACATTAGGCAGGAAATCAGATTATTCCCAGGGTCTAGTTCTAGCTCTGCCTCTACTGAACTGTTCGACGATGGAAAAACCTCTTTCATATCTGAGCCTAATTTTCTTCACTTATTTAATGAAGGGACATGTGTGATATTGTGATTTACAATAAGAAATATATATTTGGTCTTTGTCTCCCCTTTCTGGTACACAGTTCCTAAAACTCTCAAAATTTCTTAAGATCAACAAAGGTGCCTTTTATTAAGTTAATGAAGTGGGTTTTGGAACAAACCTGAGAAATCAGGGCTGGCTGCCAGGAAAACCAACCAAGTGAGAAGAAGGTGGGAACCCTCCAGGGAGGGGAGACAGGCTAGAGATTGGGCTCATTCGCAAATGGCCAATGGCTTAAACTACCATGCCTCTTTCATGAAGCCGCCATAAAAACCCAAAATAAGAGTTCCAAGAGCTTCCAGGTTGGTGAACATGTGATTTGGGAAGAGTGGTGCTCTAGGAGAAAGCATGGAAGCTCCACGCCCTTTCCCTATACCTTGCCCTGTGCATCTCTTCCATCTCACTGTTCCTGAGTTATATCCTTTTGTAATTAACCAGTAATCTGTAAGTAAAATGTTTCTGAGTTCTGTGGTCTGCTCTAGCCAATTAATCAAACTCAAAGAGGGTGAGAGGGGGGGTCACTGGAACTTCTAATCTATAGCCAGCATAATGTCCTCAAGGTCCATCCACGTTGTCGAAAATGGCAGGATTACCTGCCATTGTTTTTTATGGCTGAATAATATTCCATTGTGTGTGGAATATTACATATATATATACACAATGATATACATACCAGGGGTGCCCCAAAAATGTATACACATGACTTGTATTCATCATTTATTATCGGTATATATTGAATACTACAATTTTAAGTTTTTTCCTTTCTTAAAATGTGTATACATGTTTTTGGCACCGTTTGTATATATCACAACATCATCTATCAACAGACACTTGGGTTTCTTTCCTTGTCTCGGCTATTATAAATAATGCTGCTATGAACACAGGGGTGCAGATATCCTTTCAAGGTAATATTTTCATTACCTTTGGATAAAAACCCAGAAGTGGAACTGCCAGATCATAAGGTAGTTCTAGTTTTAATTTTCTGAGGAACCTCCATACTGTTTTCCACAGTGGCTGCACCAGTTTACAATCCCACCAGCAGAGTACAAGGGTTTCCTTTTGTTCACATGCTCACCAGCATTTATTATCTTGTCTTTTTTATAATGGCCATTTTAACAGGCATGAGGTGATACTGATTTGCATTTCCCTTTTCATGTACCTGTTGATCATTTGTACATCTTCTTTGGAAAAATAGCCATTCAGGTCTTTTGCCAATTTTTTAAATTGGATTTGTTTTTGCTAAGCTGTATGAGTTATTTATATATTTTGGATATTAACCCCTTATATTAGATACACAGTTTGGAAATATTTTCCCCATTCTATACATTGTCTTTTTACTTTGTTTCTTTTGCTGTACAGAAGCTTTTTAGTTTGATGTAGTCCCACTTGTTTATTTTTTATTTTAAGCTTGTGCTTTAGGTGTCACATTAAAAAAAATCATTGCCGGGCCAGCCAAGTGGCGCATTGGTTAAGAGCTGGCTTGGGACGCCAGAGGGCCCCAGTTCGGATCCCACATATGAGAGCCAGTGACACTGCCCTCTACAGCTAAGATGCTGAGCAACAGCTCAACCTGGAGCTGGGCTGCCATGAGGCGACGGCGTAGGCTGCAG